CCCCCAGCCAGGCATACAGTTCTCTGGGCGGGCCGCCTAATCGGGCTTTGGCGGTTGCTTCGGGGCCGCTACGCCCCAAACGAACAGCGCATCCCGGCTTCTGTTGCCCCCGAAACCCGACAACTTGCCAGAAGTGGACAGAGCCCAGACCCGGGGGTATTTGCACACCTGGTCACGATGGTCCCGGTTGAAAGTGCCTACTCCGGGAAAGTGGTACCGACCAATCGGTCAACCCTCCTCACGCCAAAAGAGGCGCCAGTTCGCTCTCGAACGGCAGAAGGGAGACTGCCATGACCGACGCTGTGGTTGGCAGGCCAGTCAGGAAGTCGGACAGCCTAGGCGTCTGGTGCGGATGATTTTGGTGACAAATGAGCCGTCTTCAAAGCATTTTAATGCGGAAAAACTACAGCCTCTGCAACAAGTCTCTTCTGCCAGCAAAAAGTCGGCCTAATATCCTTTTAAGTGTCATTCACCTCATCTCCTCCGGCACAAGGCGCAGGCCAATTTCCAGTGAGCCAGCCAACAAGTGCAATTAATCATTTTAAATAGTAAATTTACATATTTTCTACAAAAACTAATCCCATGTCGGTGTGAAGCTTGGACGACCATTGGATAACTCTTGTTATCCCAGGGACCTAACAGTCCCTCTTTTTTTCAAGGTTTTCAGGGGCAAAGCCGACTTTACCGGTGATCAAGCTTCGTCTCCGACTGAGCCACCTTCTCACCCCTGGTCGATCAAGAACAAATTGTTCCTTTCCCATTACCATTTCATACACACACACTCATACACTCATATGCAGGCTGCACAGTATAAACATATATGCATTTGAGTTAAGTGTACATGCACACGTACAGGCGTGAGTTGAGGCATACACGCAGCGACACACATTGACAAATGAGGACACGGACAGTCACGCAAAGTGACGCGAATAGAGGCGAATAACCTCGAGGCTCAGAAGCCATCAATTGTAGAAGGTATGCATGCAGTGGCATCAGCATCATCCTGGAGTATGGGAAAAACGGGAGCGACCAAAGCATATTTGAGAAGCAGCAGATGCAAGTCACCTGTAGTGTCCCGCCAACTATTGTGGTTTAGGCACTTTATTAAACAACTTGACTGCCATCTGAGATACAAGTCTGGCTGAGTGAGGGGGTACCAGCAGAGTTGGCTACTCTCACTGCCTATGCCTATTCATATGAAGCTTTCTGAATGGGGGAATGCATGGGTTTGTGTTGCGAGCTGTTTTCGCTTTGTGTCAAAACTCACTCGCGAAGAACCCGTGTAACTGGTTGTGAGCTCAAGCCCACCTAATTGAACACAAGAATGTATAAGACTTGAATATAGGGTCAAAAATTATCACAAGCCGCTCATTCGGACTGGACTGCACTTTTAACCTCTCACTCCCCCCCTCACACACACACACACACACACACACACACACATATATATATATATATATATATATATATATATTTATTTATTTATTTATATATTTACATATATATTTATATATACAGCAATTTTTGCCAATGGACTAAGGGAGGAAGTTTCGATGAAAAAATGTATATTTTTCGTTTGTAAGTAGGCTTTCGAGATTACCAGTAGATAATATATATGAGGTGAATTCACCCTAAGGTGATACAGAGACTGGCAGTTGAATTTTCCTACTTTGATGTGGGTAGACCCTAAGTTTCCATTGTAGTTCAGATAGCCTTGCTTTACCCAAAGGTATTTGCATCCAAGCTAGAGTGAACTGCGGCTTCGACCTCGCCTCGGTCTCCTTGGTACTCCCAGCGGGACTCGAACCATGATAGTGTGGCGTATAATCTCGACACGTTAACTACTACGCCACATTGCCATGAATATCCTTTCGTCACTTGGCATACGTGAATTTCAGAGAAGGCCAGGCATTTTCCCATATCACATTCTGTGGCGGAAACAAAGCTGTATTTGCTTTAGCAATCGACTACAATACTTATATTTCTTTTATAAGTAAGCTTCTGAGACTAACAGTAGCTTGTATTTGCCATTACACTCGGCGGCGTTATAATCATTAATTATTTAGCTGAATATGTATGACCACGGGACTCGTTGAACGGTTGCATCCAGAGGCGTATGGTGCTGGTAGCAACCTGTTTGATCGAAAAATGGCTTCGATCAGCTCAGCAGGAACATCGGTTGCCTTCATGGAAGAGGAAGGATGATGTGCTGAGAACGGAGAAGGTTCAAACTGGGATTCGAACTAGTACATACATTCAAGACTGACGAATTCGTGTCTGTGTGCCTACCTGTGTGTGTGGGTTTGTGTGCGTGCGTTGTGTCTGTGTGAAATAGTGAGTGGAATATGCGGGGGCTGGCTTTAAGTGCCAACCACTAGAATGCTGGTCACCAGACGAGGCGATCGGTTGACCGTTGACCAGTGGAGGCTTCTGCTAAAGGAAGATCTGATCACATTTATACCTGAGTGCTGGCCATATTATGGCATGGCTTCTTAACTAAACCTATACTACTAAAATGCCATTTCAGCGCCGGATGCTAGTGGAATATTCCGAATTGTTTAAGCTGCCTATGGCTCAATGGTGCACAGGGACAATGCAGTCATGTAGCATGTCAATTCCCTCTCGAGTAGTAACGAGCCCAGCTACTGTGCCGAAAAACCCTCGGCCGGATGTAATCTGGGCATCTGTCGGTGGTGAGTTGGTTAACGATGAGACGTGAATCGGCCGATAGAGGCCCATATTGCGTTAGTGCGGTCCTTAATGGTATTTACAGGAGGTTGATTGTTCTTAACGCATACCAGTTTTGACTGGTCATTCATGGGAGCGTTGACGACTAAGTGAAATTCGATGAAAACATGAGGCCAACTAACATCAATGTGGAGCAGTTCAATTCAATTTATGGCACTAAACGAAATAGAGTGAGTAAAACTATTGTATATAGAATGAATAGTATACTTGATTTTAAAGGAAAAATGTCTTTATATTGATACTAACATTCATTTCATTTCATTTAAAACGGTGTGGGGAAGAGATTCGTAGATTATCCTCGTCAGTAGCCGAATGAGGGCGGGACATGGAGTTGCGACAACTGGATTGTGCGAAGAAAACCTTGGCTCAATGTATTATGTAGTCGCAGGACGATGAGCTGAGGACTGCTTAACACAATTCAGCAGTATTCACTTTAGGGAAATCTACTTTATTGCTCAATTAGGTCATCTGAAGTCTTACCAAAAAAATTTGCATTCTTAATGAAAACTTTATTTACAATGAAACAAAAGCGACCTCTTTTTCCGTTTATAGGCAGGTTTTCGAGACTACCAGTCGATCGTATATATGAGATGTATTCACCCTAATTCGTATGAGATGATAAGGGAATTGGTAGTTGAATTTTCCCACAATGATATGAGTAGAGCTGACATTTCCATTAAGTTTCACATACCCTTCCTTCACAAAAGGTATTCTCATCCAGGCATAGATGGACTGTAATTTCGATATCACCTGAAATGGTTTCATTAACACCCCGAACGGGACTCGAACCATGACAGTACATCGTATAATTTCGACACATTGACTACTACGCCAGATTGTCACGGTTTCCCTTGGGTCAAGGAAGGCCAGGAATTTTCCCATACCACTTGCTCTTTCAAACTTATCTTTTTCTCGATTCGCATTCTTAAATATAACCACTTTATTTAGTGAAAATATGATGATTGTACTAAGTAGATCAGAAGTCCAACAATTTAACTACTGGTCCCCTTATCACCTTAAACAATATGGGGTGAGGGTAGAAGAAACCACCGATTTGGAGGAGGTTTGGGCTCTGACTTGTCAAAAAACGCATGAGTATTGCATATAAAGACCTAAACACATTAGTTTATGTATGTAAATAGCCAATTAAGGCCATATTCATATCTTTTTCGAGCACCAATTTGCCTCACCTGCAAACACCTAAAATAGGTATGAACTAGCCAACCCAATCATGGGATGCCTCACTAAACTGGCAAATTGGGTAATACGAAGATGGATTTCAGCCGGCCATCCGTCCTGGTTTGTGCCTTGGTGAATTTTTTTCCCTAATTCGTCACATGAAAAACAAAATTTGAGGACGTATTCATCGGCTCCGCATGACAATAAGCCGATGTCTTCTTCGTAAAATACAAAAGCCACAACTCCAGAGCAATCCTTCTTTGGTTTTCGGTGAGGTCAATTTACGAGTCTCTTCCACCCAACCCTTAAAACAAACCATTAGGTATGGCAATCTCCTTCTATTAAAGTAATCTTCTAAACCCTGGTTCTCTTTATGCATAAAATTTTCCACTATACCTTGCGTCTCAAATTGTTGTTTCTAGCTGCTGGGTTGACTTCATTTCCCTTTGTGCTTTGTTATTCCATTTCAATCTCGACTGGATTCGAACCATGGACGTGTATTTTTATGAGGCAGACACTTTAGCATTTAAACCAGACCAAAGCCAAGCCTATGGTGCAAGGCCCCTGAAACAGACTTCCACGGCTCAAATGCCGCTGTGCTAATGACAAAATGATGTTGCAAAGTGGCCACTGCGTTGATCAGCGGTACACCATCTAAAAGCATAGGGGACTCGGAGTAGGAATTATTTGGGCTCAATGCCCATTCCTCTTGTTTGGGGC